AGAAAACTGTGACCAACAGAAATCACACTAGATCTTGAAGGGTATGCAAGGACTTCAGTTTCGGGGTTTGCTTTTTTTTTTGTAATTATCAACGTCATTGAAAAAATGGCAAACGCCGTGAAATTGTATCTCATTTCAAAGTGTTTCACATTTTATGTTCTACCTGACACCTCCTGCAGAAGCAACACCTCCTAATGCTGTAAATGGGTTTTGGTTTAGTTCTGGAGAGGAAAAAAAAAGGAGGGGGAAAAAAAGAAAGTAGCTGACACTGCACTCCCTCCAGTCTGATGTATTCTCTGAGAGTCTTCTGCCCAGTTTGATCAAGTGTAGGCTGATGCATCAATGTTTTTCAGTAGTAATATTCAGTTGCAATTTAGTAGATTTCTTTGGTACTTATGGTTTCAGATTCTGCTTCATTTATTTTTTTCCTGACCAACTCAAAGGTTGAGGAAGTCACCAAGATGGCCCCTTACAGGTACAAAGGTGAGGTTAAACGGGAACATTTAGTCTTTGTCCAAAGTCCGCCCTCGTATTTATGGGCAACTTCAGACATTCCTCAAAGTGCTCAGGTCACTCCTGCCTGGGGCATCATCTGAATCATGAAAGGGCAAACCCAGCAACCCATGGCTGGAGAGCCAGACCCGCCGGTGTTTGAAGACACAGACTTCTTAAAATAAGATCTCTCTCTACATTCCAGCCCAACTTGGCTGGAGCAGGATCATTACAGCCCCCGTAGACCTCCTCTGGGAGGCTCTAAGAATGTTTTCAAACGTCTACATTTCAAAAACCTGTTGTCTTGATCCTTTATGTTACTTTGCTAACTCTCTACTCCATAAAACACAGCAGGGCAACATGGCTGGGGCATTGTGAATGTCTTCTGATGGCTAAATGGGAAAGCCTATTGTTGCCTTGGGATAATACAGGAGATGGGGTAACTCAGAAGCTGTGCCAACCCCTTCTCCTGACTGTACAGACATCGTCCCCATCAGCTGAACTGTATTTGAACACAAACACAGCTGTGCTACAGCTCTAGCAGGGTCCTTCTCAGGCTCATAAAAGCCATGAAACATTTCAATATATTCACTCTGCCCTCAACTTTCACCGCTGTGCCTCAGAACTGCACCTCGCCTGTTCCCAAACTCCTGAGCACAATCATATTAAGCAGCAAGAGAAGGAATTTAACTCTGAATTTGCTCGCATTTCTGAATTTAAAATCAGACCTAAGAGGTACATAAATCTAATTCTAATTTCTTTTATGTAAATTCAAACCACATGGAGAAAACAAAAATTTGTCATTCTGTTTTGTTTGGGGCTTTATAAACTGACACCATATTAAGTTATTTAAGCCCAGTAAAATTTAATGGGAGTTATTCTTGTTCTTGCAACAGCGTTTCCTGCAGAAGATACTTCCAGAACTGTGGTGAAGTCATCGCCTAATGTCTCCCCTGTGACTCCCAGCTATGTAATGGGATAGTTTTTTCCTTCTCTTCCAACGTTTATTATTGACGTAAAAGCATCTTTACATGATAAAACCAAAGCAGCTGCCCGTGTCCCTTGGGAATGTCCCCTCGTTAGGGAGGATTTTAGCCCCCTCCCAATAGTTTATTTAGTATGCTGAAAACCAATCCCATTTGAAAGTAAGTTACTTTCTACTCACATACTTATTGTTTTCTAAAGCACTGTCCCTCCTGGGAGAAAGTGAAAGGCAATATAAAACCCTTCTGGGACAGCCCTGAGTCAATAAAATAGCTTGGGACGAGTTCTGCACTTTAAGCTTTTGAGTGAAGAAAAATGGAAGTGTAGGAACAAACCATGAAACTGTTTTCAGGGTACTGACAAGATCTATACCTTCTATGCAAAGAATTAAAAATATTAATTGTTCTACATTGCTTATGATGAAGACCTTTACAGAATATTAACTATTGTGTTATATATTGCATACATTATGATTTTGTTATGGTGTTCATATCTCTCTCCATTTAATTTTCAAAGGTTTTGGTAAGGGTTTTTTCTTTAAACTATAGCAATTATCTGGCTGTCATATTTGGTATAATCTATACCCCAGTTGGGTGCTACCCATCAATGACTACAACCAGAGACTGCATCAGGAGGAACACTAGATCCAAACAACCTTCTGTATCTCTCTCAGAAAACAAGCATAAAAAATTATTTGTACATGAGAATGCTCTGCCTATCGGAGTTTAGCTAATTCCAAATGTTAGAGAGGCAATAAGCTGCACCCTAGAAGATATAAAACCTTGTAAAAGACAACATGGGTTAGATTTTCCTGTGGAAGTAGTTCCATGATTACATTTTCTTGGCTAGAAGGCTGCCTTTCATTAAGTGGTCTGTCTTGAGTACTGGAGCCTTCTGTTCCTTTCTCTTCTGTGTCATTATCTCACTGCATTTACACCTCATTTCAAAACACAACAGTTACTGAAAAAAACTTTTTAATCTGCTTTTTTCCACCTTTAAATGAAAGTAACTACACTGCTTCTTTTGCTCTTTTACTTACTTCTAAAATTCCTGAAAACTCATTGCCTTCTTTTTTTCTGTCTTTACCACCATCAGATTTGTTTTTCGCTTTTTTTAGGTGGGAGAGCTGTTGTCCTATGGTATTCCTGCTACGTGTTTAATGGTTTAGTTCCTCACTTGTTACATGCATGCACAAGGGAGAATCAGCAGTAAAATGGTAAAATGCTTTTACTAATCTAAATAACAAGATTTCAAATAATTTTTTTCTGATGAACAATATTAAGTACATTTATTGTAATTGAGGTAAACAGAAAAAAACCCCAACCATGAATGTTGTCTTCTAAGACGTGTCA